TTGTCTGCTGCCTTCTATTGGAGGTGATGGTCTGCCATGGACTTAGATGGTGTTTTACCTTCAATAGTTTGGCTGATTTATTTTGCCATGCATTGTTCCAGTAATCAATGGTTCGATTTTGGTAAAATAGTTTCACATCTGATGTAGGAACTTTCTTGTTTGTCACTGTGTCCATGTTCGCAGCCATTTTTGCGTTCTCGTCAGCTATTTGGTTGCCCTGTATATTTTTGTGTGATGGCACCCATATTATGGTTACTTCTTTATTTTGGAGTGCAAGGCTATGTATTTCCATTTTTATAATATTGACCAGTGGATTATTGTTATATATTTTTGTGATCAGTGTAACTGAGTTAAGGGAGTCGGTAATGATGACCCACTTCCGACTGGAGCTTAGTTTGATGTATTGCATAGCTTCTCTAATTGCATACAATTCGCCAGTTAGTATTGAGGCTGTTTCGGGTAGCTTGCATTTCATTGGACCTGAAGGAGTAACTACAGCGGCACCTATGTTTTGTCCAATCTTCGAGGCATCTGTGTATAATTGTTGAGCTTCTGTAAATTCTCCAATAATACTTCGGAAATGTTGATTTACTACTTCGTTTGGTGTATTGGTTTTGTCGAATTTTGTAAGAGTTGTGATACTGGCTGGCTTGTATAGTGTCCATGGTGGAATAGTTACTGGGAAGATGGGAAGTGTGGATGGTGGATTTTGTATGTTGAGTTTTCTTAGGTAAATTTTAATTCTATTCTGGAAAGGGGTACCCCACAGCGTATCTCTATAATTTCTTTTAGTGGATAGATATTTTTGAGCCGACATATTAAGATTGCTGATTTTCTTGTTGAAGTAGGAAAGACTTAGTATCTGACGTCTAGTATGTAGTGGCGCTTCTCCCGATTCGCAGTACAGGCTATCGACTGGAGTTGTTCTGTATGCTCCCAGGATCAATCGCAAGGCGGTGTTGTGTAAAACATCTAGGGGTTTTAGAGTTGAGGGCTTAGCTGAGTTGTAAGCAACACATCCGTAATCCATTTTTGATCTTATTAATGCTCTATAAATCATAAGTAGCAATTTACCTTCTGCGCCCCAATGTCTATTAGATAAATATCTTAACATATTCATTCCTGCCTGGCATGATTTAATGACATTTGCGATGTGTTTCTTCCAGTTTAATCTGTTATCGAAGGTTACCCCAAGAAATTTGATTTCACTGGTATATTCCAAGGATTTCTTGCATAACTTCAATGGGGGTTCTTCGTGAATCGGTTTTCTAGAGAATATAATGCATTTGGTTTTCTCTGGGGAAAACACAAATCCTGTTTGATTGGACCAGTAATCAAGCTTGTCAAGATACTTTTGCAGTAGTGTTATATTTGTTGTTAAGTTCTTGCCTCTGACATAAACAATCATATCATCTGCGTACAGACGTGCTTGCAAAGGTTTCTCAATATCTTGTAACACATCATTGATTGCTATTAGGAAAAGGGTTGGACTAATAACAGAGCCTTGAGGTAATCCGTTCGTTTGCTGTTTTGGTTCTGATAGCACTCCATTTGACCGTACTTGAAAGATTCTGTTTTGTAGGAAGTTAGAGACAAAGGATAATATGTTACCATTGTACCCCCATTTATGAAGTTTCGAGATGATATTGTATTTCCAGGTAGTATCGAATGCTTTATTAATGTCGAAATAGATTGCTACACAGTGTTGGCTGTCCGAGAAGGCTTCGTGTATATGGGTTTCCAAGATAGTGTCGATGAAATTCGGTGGGTTCAAGGATAAAATCCGTAGAAGTAAAAATTGCGGCCATGCAAGATCAGCGGTGGATGAACGGCCCTTGCATCCAGCAGCGATTTCTATGAAAAAAAAAAAGTATATTTTTGTATTGCATGCGCACACGCAACAGAGGTTTTGGGTATATTTGCCTAAAGAAACATAAACTTCTTTATTACAACTTGTGCAATGAGCAGACTGAACGCTCTGCAATCTCATTTGAAACCACCATAAAACCTCCTTTTCCCATTCTTGTTCATAGGATTGTGAATATTTTCCTGTTTTACACCTCACCACCTGACATTTTATTTTAAATATTATAATAATAAGTATACTTACAGCATAGGCTATATAAAATTATTTTTTAGCTGTAGTTTTGGATCTACCTCTTTGTGGAGAGAAACCTCTAAATATTTGAATAATATCAAAACATCGCGGAAAATGAGGACGTTTCCGGTATTTTAAATACAAATAAAAACATCGCCATCATTTTCAAACTTTTTATTAATCTGAGCAGCCTTCTAGAGATTTATTTAATAATGTTTGACAAAAATAGACTTAACAAATGAAATACTCGGGTCAATACTAATAAAAGTATATAATCTCCTCTCTCTGAGGTAGTCTGGTAAAACAAATAACTAGAAACACTTTTCTTGCATGGCATCAAATGAAAAACAAATAATTTTTGGTTCTGTAAATAATAGAATAATGTGGGTGTATCTGCGAAAAGCAAAATTTCGCCAAATTTAAAACAAACTAATATCAAGTACTCTTAATTTAGGTACTTTGGGAACTCGGAAATTATATTTTTAACGGAGTTTTTAAGTTTTGAACATTGCATTCAGCAACCAATATCGACATTGTGCAACAAAATTTTAATAAATTAAAAATTGTCTGTTCCGGGCAAATTTTTACAGGTTATTTGGATCATTCCAAACAGAAAATATTTTCATTACCTTTTCTCTAAAACTGGCCATTTTCGAATTATAAGCGACTTAATCTCAGAGAAGCCCCTAAAATGGGTACCTATATTCGATGCTGAAAAGCACGGCTAAGAATTATAATTTTTGAGGTCGCAATGTCGGCTTATTATCCAAAGCATCTTCACATATTTAAGGAAGGCTACCAAATATAGTCAAAATCATGAAAGATGACTGTTACGTCATACCATAAATTGTACTGAAGTAATCAATGGACGTACGTCGTTAATAAAATCACGATGTTATGAATTTATAATATGATTTTGAAAGGTTAGGTTATTTCACTGATTATTTTTATTTTATTTCATGGTTTTAAGTGGTACCTTAGTAATAATTGTAGTGAGGAGTTTTTGTTTTGAAAAGAAAAAAGTTATGAGTAGAATTCGCCTTGCGACACCAAAGACCAAAGTATCATTCGAAAACAATCTAACCTGCTTTAACATAGCCTAACTATTCAAATGTGTTTGATCATAAACATGAAAACATCGTCTATCTTTGTCGGATACATGCAAATTAGCAATACAGTTCGTTTAGACGATAAGATTCTGTTTGTCTCTGTCTAGCATATTTGAAACTTCATTAAAAGTATTCACAAATCGCTGTCGTTTGTCTTTACTGCAGACTAAAATAATGACGCAATCGTCATCTTTGGTGATTTTGACTATAGTTGATGATTTCACCTGATTTGCATTTTATCTGGTATGACATCTGCTATGCTGTCCTTCAGTGCACCCCCAACAGGGGTACAATCAATTCACAAAAGACTATGATATATCAGTATACAAGTCCAGAGTATGTTGAAATGATCGTTGACATCGCCATTAAGGCCCGTATCGTCAGTCGTCAATACAATTGTAGGGCGCGTTTATGGCCTCATAGATTGTCATACTATTTTCTCTCCTTCAAAAATTTCTAGATTACACTCGTCCCGTGTCAGCGTCAGCGCTCTAGTATTGTGAACATATGTTTTCCTTTTAAATTGTAGGAAATTTCAGGCTGATAAAACATGATATAACTCAAAAGCAAGCACAATTTGATGCAAATAGATGTTTGTGATATAACCTCAAAATAGAGCGTTGACACGAAGAAGTATAAAACTATGACAATCAAGGAGGCCATACACGCGCCCTACAATTGTAGGGACGACTGACGATACGGGCCTTAGTCTTTCTAAATAAATGTAAATACAGTTAATATACATACTTAAAAAAAATATTGGAGCAAGAAAGAAATCCAAATTTTTCTGAGACTTTAAAAAAAGCATTTTGAAACTTTAAGATTCCAGTTTTCATGCTCTTTAGCCGAAAATTTTTAGGAGTAATGGTACTCATGCAATTTTTACAGAAGGCACACGAAACATTTTTTGCATCCTGGTTTTTAGTCCACGAGCTTGAATTTTTTTTCTGCCAGACTATCATATGGACCGGATAGCCCGTTCATTCAGCTTCAATATTGTGTTTTTAAAATCTCAATGCGATCATTTGGCGCGGAGATATCAGTCTTTGAATAAAAAAGGATCCTTGAATGTAAGGGTATTCCCGAAAATTGGAATAAAACTTGAGAGTTTTCAAAATTGCTTTTTTAAATTGAAGATGTTTTTCCATTTTAAGCCAGATTGCATGCTTTGATACAAAAATTTTGCTCCTTTGATTTCATTCAAATTTTGACCAATCGGCCCGGAGAAACTGTACAATGGATCAGTCTGCAGTCGTGCATGGTTATTAGAGGTATATTGATATATAAAAAAACCTAAAAACATTAACCTTCTCATTAGCAGTTTAAAAAATGCGGTGGATTTTCCAAAACAAGACAAAAAGTTTCTTGACTTGTTCAAAATTAATTCTGAGTAAAAAAAATCCTCAAAGATTGCAGCCAAATTTTATTAGAGGTTTATTCCAGTGTTCATAAATACCCTCACATTCTCTGTCTAATCAATGGTCTCCAAGATATCAGTTGTTGATAACATTTTCATTCAAAATGAAAACTAGAATCTTAGAGCTTAAAAATGTTTTTTTTTGAGTCTTGATATGAGCAATTTTTGACAACCTCACCGAAAAATTTGGATTTTTTTTATCTCATTATTTTTTTTAGTAGTTTATGTTCATCACTATTAGTACACATCAACCAGTCTTGTCTCATGAACTTAGTACTATTACTTGGAGCAGGTTGCCAGGAACTACATGTGAAAAATTGGTAACTGTAATGACTTTAGTACTGTTTATTTTGTAAACCTTGGCAGATATGGTATTTAAAAACAACACAGAAATAAAACAATTTTTAAATTGTCAAGACTTTAATCCTACACAAAAGGCTCACATACAGCAATACTATGGTCAACACCAGAATACATTTTGTTAACAAATCCACCCAGTGCAACTTTTAATGGAAAATATTGGTCCTTATCATCACCTAATCCAAGACAAAAGTTCTTATTTCTACCCCATACAAACAAATCTCCTAAATTTGTCACAGCTGCTGCATTAAACAAACCGCAAACTACCTCTTCTACTCTGCTGTTAGGTTGAAAATCATTCCTGCCAAACAACGTATCTGGGATATGTATAGGCTCTCTTGACTGTTGAGCGTTCGGACCAACTCCTAACAATCCATATCCCCATGAGAACACTTGGCCTGCATCATTCACAGCGAGACAGAAAGACCCACCACTTGCGACACTTTTAATTTTGCCAACTTGTTCAAGCATCCTCACATGTGTCGGCACTGCTACCTGTTGGCTTCCATCTGGTAATGTCAGCTGGCCATATTCTGTGTTTCCCCAACCAAAGACTTGTCCTTTGTCATTCACAGCTAAGACGAAATCTGAACGACTTGCAAACTTCACTATGTTTTCACTGTCAATATCACCTTTCACTCTTGTGAACTCGGTAGTGTTATCATAGTGACCTAAGCCTGTTTGTCCATCTGCCCCCCAGCCACACGAGTACACTTTTCCTTTTTCTGTAAGAATTAAACTGTGATCTTGACCGCATTCGACATCAACAATCCTTTCTCCTTCTATGTCTTGTATATGGTGGATATAGTTACTGATAGCATAGTTTTCATCAGGTATTAGTTTCCTGCCACACTGACCATAAGCATTGTTTCCTAATGTAAAAATGCCTTCATCTGTTAGAATGACTGAATGTGCTCTTCCAGCTGATATTTTGAGCACCTTGGATTTTGTAGGATTTTGGAAAGGTAAATTTATCGCCCTTGGGTCATAAAGGATTTCCAAAGGATGGCCCTGTCGCACTTCATGGTAGCCTATTTGCGAGTCTGTATTTATCCCGCATCCATATACTTTATTTTCATCTTCACTGTTCACAGCAAATAAAGTGAAACCAAACCCACATGCTGCAGAGGTGACTTCATGTTTTTCACCAAAGGTTACACGTCTTGGAAACTTTATAAACTGTGTGAACTCTAAATTTTGGTCGTTTTTGTAATAAGGTAGACCTAAGCCACCTGTATGTAGGTTACCCCAGGCAAATACTCTTCTGTAATTGGGCTTACTGACTGTGTATTGGAAAACAGGAAGTTTCTTTGCCTGGTCTTTGTTGACGGGATATTTTCTTTTGGGGCCATGCAGATATCGCTTACCGACTAAACTAAAGTTAGCTCTACTTGCTAGATGCTTGAGAGTTTTAGACATAATAATTAGCTAACGTTGTCTAAAGTGGATAATTAAGTTTCCATAATCATTATTTTAAAGATTTAAAAGATTAACACGTACAGCCGATTGAGAGGTTATGTTTATTGACAATTGCTTCACACTTCAAACGCATATGACTGACGACAGAGAACAATCTGCATAGAACTGGACTGCTAGACCCAAACTTGTCCTCATTTATAGAATGTGATGATCTAAATAATTTATAATTTGTACTCAACTAAGTTATTTTATTCACATCCACTCGTATAGCCCACGAATCATTTTAGGATAATACTAACGTTTCGACTGCCCCTTAGCTTTTCGTAAGGTACGGAGTCAAGAAAGATAGAAACGTATCAATTTTTTAAGTTGAAGTTATCTGCTCCTAATCTGTGGCTTGACCGATATTGCTAGGACAATGAGAGTTTTTCATTGTCAAACAATAAATTTATTTCTATATTTTGATTACAGATTCGATTGTTCCGTTTATACGAAACAACTGATAAGAATGAAAAATATATAGATTTTATTTTTTCAATTTGATCTATCGAAGCTGGTAGCTGGGGAAAGATAATCTAAAATGGTAGACAAAAACACTTCTCTTTCAAATGTGATTCTGAGTGTCGCACTCAACTGTATTTGTAGCTTGTGACAACCAAGTTTCGAGCTCTATAATCAAATTCAAGCGGATAACCAAATGAAAATGGTATTTACCATTTTGGATTGGTATTTACCGATCCGTTCAAGCGAGTGTGGTTATCAGTTTGGTTATAAGATCTGTGACGTCATGAATCAGCTGTTATATGTCATAGTTATCACCGCAAAATTGTGGTATTTACCCAACTCAGGAGTACCGTAGTTTTATATTTCTGGTTATTATTTGACAAGTAACAAGTTAGAATTTTGCCGGGTATTGGACATTGTTATTGTACTTCAGCTTCATTTTTGGGAAACTTGATACAGGCCGACTTCAGTTTTTGCATAAAGTAGAGCACCTTATAATCATTACTGTTGTTGGGGAAACTTTAAATCTAGTTCCTATGCTTAACAAAGTAGCCTGTGTAGCCATATACCACAAGAACATTAAAATATGGCCGTATAAACTCACTGGATGATGTCCACCTGTATGCGGTTCAGCTAATATCTTTTTTCATCGCTTTTTCCTACCATTTCTGCTAAATCAATAAATGTTTTCTTTGACATGCGGAAAAGTTTAGAGAATTGAAAGTTATCATAGCTACAAAGTCATGGCTCCATCATTAAAACATTTTTTTTTCTGAAAAAAAAAAGATTTCTTTTTTAATCTTTCCATACATTGTTGTAGACGAAAAAACACCGATTATTAAGTGATAATAAAAATAATCAGAAATTATATACGAGCTTCTATAAAATAAACAACTTGCAACAAAACCGCGGTTAAAACCAACGCGTTCAAGCAATTCGAGTAATCAACCCGTGTGTCATCTTGAACCATACTATAACCGCGATACATAACAGAGAAATTTTGGTTATTCACTTGGATTTGATTTTATGATTTATGTGATGTGCGGTAAGTCTGGGTCAGTGCTACCAAGTCTACCGATTTTTCGGAATATCTAGCACATTCTAATGAACTGAAACTCACCCTGTTATGATGTTGTATGACAATATGCATAATGCATATTAGGTGCTACCTAGTTAGGGATATTATTTTACTGTAATTTAAATAACAATCCTATGCTACTCTTGATGTTACTCCAAAATATCCAGACGCAAACCATTTATACACATGGAAACCTACAATGTAAATAATTGTTTTATGTTTATGTGCAAATTATGGTCACGATATATAAATGACTAAAAATTTTATAACAATTAGTAAAAATACAAATTTGCATAAAACATGAACACCACCAGTCTTATTGTTTTGTTTGCTATTTTATTCAAAACCTCTTTTTTTACATTCTAGGAAAATAGTAGAGGCAGCAAAATAGTCCGATGAGCTGACAACACCGCAATCTAAGTGACAAAAATCACAAGGTCAGCTGTCATGTCTATCCCGGGGTACCGATAGAGTCACTTAGACCGTCAAGCGGCAATATTCCAATTTTCATATGCATCTTTTTAAGGGTTGTGTAACGATTTCGGCAAAAACTTCGATACGGATCTTCTAGGGTCGTGTAGAATACATTTCAACAGTTGTCATGCGTGGCCATGTTATCTTTACTCGGACCTAAGCAAGATGCCCCACTCTTCAAATATTAATCCCTGTCAAAGTTTTGCTTTTTGGTTTAATGTCTACGGTAATCTACCAAAAAATTTCTCGCAAATCTATGGAAAACTGACCGACTATACTACAATAATCTCGGCAGTGTTGCCGACCCTACCAATATTTCTACCGAAAATGTCTTCATTTTCCTTCCTTAATTCAGATATTTCTATATTTTTTTTACCGAAAAAAAGCTGGAACTAATGATAAAACTGAAGAAATAAATCTGTGTAATCTTTGTAGTTTTATGCCCTATACAGTCTGATAGCTCACCGTCATTCCAAAGTTCGTCTATACTTAATTGAATACTAAATTAAATTGTCCGGTGATGAGACTAAGAGAGTCCAGTACGCTCATTGTACTAGTTGTAATGAAGAACTTAAGTTTTTTTAGGAACAAGTGCCCCCCAAAAAGCAGCACGGCCCTTGATAAATCGCTGATCTTGTGAAGGCGTTGGCTGTTTCCTACTACCAATTTTGTCTTTGAATCTACAGAATTTCAAGGACATTGGAGGGATTTTGTCTTTTTCGGTTCGGCAACACTGGGTCTGGGGTATGCCAATCACGTCAAACGTCAACGTAAAGTACTTGGGAAAATGTGGTGATAGTCTAAGAGCGGGTTTTCTAGAAAATCTAATTTCTTCGAATTAAAAGTAATCTGTTCGCTTACCACCATGGTAAAACTTACCGCAGAATTGGTACAAAACTCTATGCAGTATATAAATGCTGTAAAAGATCGAGAACTGGATTTGAGAGGTAGCCGGATAAGACGCCTATTTTATAGGTTATGTCGGAGCATCTTTACCTTTATCTTTTTTGTTTTTCAGGATATCGAATACCTGAAATAGAAAATTTGGGGGCCACCGGCGACCAGTTTGATACAATAGATTTCTCAGACAATGATATTAGGAAGTTAGATGGGTTTCCATATTTGAAGAGGTTGAAATGTCTTCTGATGAATAACAACAGAATTGTGTAAGTCCCTTTGCCACCCATGAATTAAAAGTAAGTGTGTATGTTTTCTAATTCTGTACATGTTTCAGTCGGGCTGGAGAACATCTTGAAGAATACATCCCAAACTTGGAAACACTCGTTTTAACAGGCAATCAGCTCGATGAGCTTAGCGATATTGAACCGTTAGTGAAGCTAGAAAAGCTGACAACCTTGAGCTTAATGTTCAACCCCATTACAGCTAAACAGCACTATAGGCTGTATATAGTATATAAGTTGCCTCAGTTGAAATTGCTCGATTTCCGGAAAATCAAGAAGAAGGAGAGAGATGAAGCGCAAGCTTTGTTCAAGAGTAAGAAAGGGAAGGACATACAGAAGGAGATCCTAAAGAAAGCAAAGACCTTTGTGCCTGGTGGTAACATGAACAATATTGCTAAACAGAAAGGTATGAACATATTTTGAGAAATTAGCCTTGTAATGAGATCTTAGCGACAAATGCTTGTTAATTCCTGGTTTTACCACATTTAATTTAATACTCCAGGCTCATCTATGAGTGTAGCCTGCAAGTTACAGATATGCATATAAACCAAACTAAATAATGAATTGTTTTCTTAGTTTAGTGGACACTGTCACTACTTTGATAATGCAGAAATATTTTTCAGTAATATCTACTAATGTAGAAAATTTGTAATTGTTTTTTCTTTCTAGGATTAACTGAAGATGAAGTTAGGAAAATAAGACAAGCAATCAACAATGCGAAATCACTGGAGGAAATGGAGAGACTACAGAAAATTTTACAATCAGGACAAATCCCAGGAGATAAAAGTAATTCTGGTAAGTTTCCTTCATATTAGCTATTATATATCTTCATGAACTTTTTACTTGATATAAGGCTTGCTATTCTTCAATAATTCAAAGGACAGAGAGCATATAAAACTTGAGAAAAGCAATTGTAACTCTTAGACTAGTGGGTGCGCCATCTATTACTTTTTTTTTACCTATAAGTTTGTGTTACCATGTGAGTCAAAAGTCATGTTTTATGCATAAATGAACTGTCAAAGGTATGCAATTTATAGTCATGGATTCATTTACAACACAACAACACATTTTGATTATCCAAACTTATTACGAAAAAGGTCGAAATATAAAAAATACTTTTCGCAAACTTTGCACTACTTTTGGCCGACATGGACGCCTCACAGTGCCTGGAATTCGTTGGATTGTTAATCGTTTTGGGGAAACTGGTTCAGCTGAAGGTCGTAGATCATACCAACATGCTCGTAATACAAGAATTGAAGCCGGCAGACCATCAACAGCGGCGTGTTTTTGTTAATTGGATGCTGGAAAGAGAAGACCGATTTTCGGCCAAAGTGCTCTTTTCTGAGGCGGCTCATTTTCACCTCAATGGGTACGTAAATAAGCAAAATTGCAGTTTCTGTGGGGCTGAAAACCCACACCAATATCATGAACAACCTCTCCATCCTGCAAATGTGACTGTTTGGTGCGGATTATGGGCTGGTGGCACCGTTGACCATTCTTCTTTGAAGATGCCGAAGAAAGGGCCATTACCGTCAACGGGGAACGTTATCGCGGCATATTAACAGACTTTTTGTGGCCACAATTAGATCGTATTTGTGCCGACGATCTTTGGTTTCATCAAGACGGAGCAAACGGCTCACACATCTCGCCAAACAATCGCCTTATTGCACACGAAATTTCAAGACAGCATAATTTCACGAAATTCGGATGTCAGTTGGCCCCCGAGATCGTACGATTTAACACCTCTTGACTACTTTCTTTGGGGATTTTTAAAGGAAAAGTGTATGTGAATGGTCCCTGGATAATTCAAGACTTAAAGCGCAATATTCGGACTGAAATTGCGGCCATAGACCCGATTATTCTGGGAAAAGTCATTGAAAATTTTGATGTTCTGATGTTGGCCTGTAAACGAAGCCGCGGTGGTCACATGACTGATGCTATTTTTCATACATAAATGGCATAAACCAACCTTCATTTATCAATAAAAAAAATCGATTTCACCTCGTAAAAAGCGTGTTGATTTTTCAAATAGAAAAAAAGGTAATCGATGACGCACCCTGTATTAGCATTGAGGAAAATATACTATGTTCCATATTGAATCATATTTATGAATTTAATAATGAATAAAACATTGAACACAAAGACGACTAACGCAGGAGGGTAGTTTTTGATGTCATCTTTTCCTGTATCTACATCTTTTTGTTTTCATATAAAAAAGTAGTTATTGTTTTGATAATTGTAAGGGTCTGTAAATATTGTGCTCGAATGTATCTTATGTTGCACTGATTGAAGAACAAACTTGATATGCTATTAACAATGGATATCTTTCCAGAACTGAATGGCGAAGCTATGGAGACCTAGTAACATGGTTATTGGTAAAGTATAGCGGCATGACTCCTTTCATAATTAATTTTTTGTATTATATAGGATAAGCTGTTTAAACATATTACGCTGATAAGAACTGAACATCATATTGTTCAAATATGATACTACAACTGGTTGAAACAGAGGCTAAGATTTGATGTACGTTCTATTTAACTTGAATTGAATAAACTTGTGTTAATTCATTCCAGGGATATTTGCTGATCAACGAATATGTTTATGTTTTTCCTTATGATTCTGTGAATTTGTTAATCAGTCTTGCTCTGGTTGGCTTGTAATCAAGCTGCTATTTCTTCTTAAAAAACAATTCACAATAAGGCAGTATTGACTGCATATTTCAGCTAAAAATAAAGATGAATGCTTCGATATAACCTTGTCTCAATGCTACCAATACCTCAACATCCTTAATGTATGTATGACATTGTTTATAGTAAAAGGCTGCTGCACAAATTTCATCTAAATCCAAGTCATACTTTGTAGCTTTGATAGCATCCACAGATAGACTAGGCAAACAGAAATGAGGACTGACTTGGATTTTCATTTAACAAACATTTTTTTTTAAATTTGACATAGAAAGCATGAACCTTTTTTTTGAATATTTATCTGAGTGAATCTTGTGTTTTGTTGTCTTGGTTGCCCCCTCATTATTTATATCTTAGTGCAATTGTAATAAGAAATAAAGACCGATCTTTTAATTATTTATCTACTAAAACTACGCAATATTACAAAAATAGATATAATACTATTTCCTAAACATATCACAATTTTAGTATCTTCTAGATATTGACACCTATATTAACAAGATGCTTTTTTTAGAGTGATGTTCAGTAGTCCATAGCGCTGACCCGTTTTATCTTCGAGAACTGTCCCTTTTTCACAATACTGCCAGCTGAAAAAATTCGTAAATCATTTTTAACGGTGAAAATTATACATTTTGAAAAAATGGCATATCAATATGAGAGACACTGGAAAAGAAATCTATCCAGCCATGAATAAAAACTGAAATGCACAGGTAGGAGCAGAGGAAAAAGCGCCTGAAGAACTCACCTGTTTCCATACATATCCCTGACCACAACCTTGTCAATAAACAGAACTGATGTGTAGAGGGAGATACTGTGGTTACTTGGCATCTCAATGGTAGTGAAGTCTAGGTAGTTCAGCCTTGCCTGGATAGTCTCAACACGCTTATCCATGCTGTTGTACTCTGCTGTTGCTAGACCATTCAAGTGTGTAAATGAATTCGATATGTCTAGGAATCTAGAAAATGGCAAAGATGGAGATAATTGTTATTAAAAAAAAAAACACTGATCGACACTATCGGATTTTGATTTAAACAATTAATATATTTAGAAATGGCAACAACCTAACTATTATTTTTCGCTAAAAATTGGTTGATGTTTATCTAGAAAATCATGAGACTTGAGTAAACAAAGTTTTGTCAAGCAGTAGGACATGATGTGACCTATTTATCAGACGCACGATTATCCTCCTGTTTCTGACACTATATTGTGTTACGCCTAGAAAATGTTGCAAATGAGGCAACGAAATATTACTTATACTACTTATATATACAACTTTTCAAATTTAAAACTTCAAATCTGTGCCATGGAAGTTTGGCTTCAATGAAATGTGAGGGAAATAACTTTTATTTTCCTACATGGACAATTCGGCATGGCCACGTTACATCGGTTTACTGGTTAAATCCTATCGACAGAATATGAGTTCTTTTTAAATATACATATTTTAAAAAGGTATTTTTCAAACTCCCATGAGCGAAATAATGAGGATGATTACCCTTGGAAAATGGATGTGAATAATAATTTATCCTTCAGAAATGCACTTTCGTATAGGTAGCTCCTGTTGGCATACGTTTTAAAAATCAAATATTTGTGGTGACGTCGCTGATTATAATGTTTTCTTCCTATACAAATATCTATACCAGAAACTATACTTACTTGCATTGTATTTGGAAAATGACGCTGTGATTTGAATAAAATAGTTGTAGCTGTAAAACGCCATTCACTGGGCCAGTTTTGGGCGATAGCTGAACTGACGCCTGCAGTTGGGTACCTAAAAATATAGGTTATTATAAAAGAAGAAAATTCTAATTTAGAAAAACACTTAGGGCGTATATTTGCAATAAACCGATGAATGTTAGCTTTCGTCAAATTTTATAAACTAATTACAACCTAAGCAATAACCATTTTCTGTTGCTGGCATGGACTTGTACGTACCAGTATGATTCAATACTACAGCTTTCTGCCAGTTTCGAAAATTTTCAACATTACTTCAATATTTGTTTGAAACATATCAATGCTACATGACGATATTTTTGTATTCAGTATTAATTCAACAATATTTAGGTTTCTACAGAACAGAAGAAAGAAGTTTTTTTGTAAAAGTTGGTACCACTAGTTTCGACAGTTTTCTTTTGATTGCTTAAAAACATGTGATTATAGGCATATTTTCACACTACTAGAGGGCAATTCGATATTCTCAATAATAAGCCAAAACAATTTTGAAAAGCTGTCAAAAATGACATTAGACTGTTCTGTTTTAGACTTTCAAAATTCTATAAAATAATACTTTCCACAAATTTTATGAGCATCCAATCCCTGAATAACAACACGACTCTACTTTCAACTATATTTTGTCACTTGATTACCACAGTTAGCAATTGTATTATGGTTGTGAATTATTTTGACTTGACTCTTCACTGCAAGGATTATCAAAATTACCGCAAACTGGGTCAAATCGATTTAAATATGGTTACACGTGTAGGTGTTTTCAAGTAACCGATGCACTGGACACAGATTCAAATTCTCAAAAATGCTTAGCGCATTCAAAGCACGTATGACATCTCTGACGATCCACAAAAATAAAATCTCATATTTCCTTATGGCTTTTAATGATTCCAAAAGGTCCTTGTTGTTACTTTCAACCTTGGTGTCAGGTAGAATTTTCGACCTAGCGGTGAGCGACAAGCGGGGACCGGACGTTATCGGATTATCGCTGTTTCCACTGGTAACAATAAAAAAAAGCACTGCCCAGCTGAATATTTCTGCCAGCACAAACGTTGATCGTTCTGCCAACGTTGCGTTATGTCATCACGATAAATAGACGCGTTCGATTTAATGGAGTATTTGGTACTATACTACAACTATTTAAAACTGTAATGACTCATACGCGTGATCAACACGTGATCAGAGCTCGATCCCGGCTTCCTTCCAGTACAGCCGTATAGCGTACAACATATGTCGTTTCTGTGGCTTTGCGGTGGTCAACAGCACAGACAGAGATGGAAATAATGGCTGATTGTTCTCCGCCGGTAGAACCAATGAAAACAAAGACGCGCCTCGACCGGCAGACTCCTAGGCGTCGGCAACGCATTGGAACGTGTTTCGTTGAGCGATCGCATATTGTGTGTTTTTATAAGAATTGTTGTGTGATTGTTATTGTTGTGGTTTCTGTGGTTACTGTTTTGGTTATACTTAACCATGGAGAGTACAAATGGCACGAGTGGAAGTACTGAAAGCCAGGGAACAAGTAGACGGCTTCGTAAAGCACTGAAGAGGGACGCGAAAGAAATCGTGCTCAACGTGTTCAATTATCTGAACAGAACTATGTCGCAGGGAGATGAACTCGCGCGTTGTGAAAGTATGACAGGCGTTCCAGAGTGGACCATTCGCAGGGTGTAGCATGAAAAGAAGAAAACTGGAGCTACTACTGATCCAAAGTTTAATTTGAAGGGACGAAAGGCCGTTAAATTGGTTGACGATAGCAAAATGGCGTTAAGGCGAACCGTACATTCATTCTTCTTTAGGAATGAGATACCAACCCTCAAGGCTGTACATGCAGCAATCAAGGAAAATGAAATTATACCCCAAATGAGCGTCGAGGTAATGAGGAAATCCCTGCACGAAATTAATTTTCGTTACGAAACGCGTAATCGGAAGTCAGTATTGATAGAGAGACCTGAAATAGTCGCCTAGCGTCGAAAATACCTACGCGAAATGATTGAATATAGGCGACAAAGCAGAAAAATCTATTATTTGGACGAGACATGGGTAAATGCAGGTCACACAGTTAAAAAAACCTGGATAGACAAAAACGTAGTGAGTAACCGACAAGCAAGCATTGAAGGTTTGTCAACAGGTCTTCGTGGACCCAGGAAAAGGTCAAAGATTGATCGTAACTCATATTGGTAGCGATAGTGGCTTTTTAGAAGAGTGTGACTTGATTTTCGTCTCTAAGAAAGGAGGTGATTACCATGACGAAATGAATGCCAGCTGCTTCGAGAGCTGGTTTCAAGGGCTGCTTCAGCGAGTTGAGCCCAACTCTGTGATCGTCATGGATAATGCTTCCTACCATAGTCGTCGAGCCGAACGTGTACCGACTATGGGATCTCGAAAAAGTGACATGCAGCAATGTTTGCGCGAAAAAGGAATCCCGTTTGACGATTCATGTGTGAAAGCGGAATTGTATGGAAAAAATAAACAGCACAAACCTGCGAACATTAGTTACAAGACTGATGAGATGGCCCGTCAATGTGGTGTCACTGTGCTGCGGTTACCGCCCTACCACTGTGAACTGAACCCAATAGAGCTCATCTGGGCTCAAGTGAAGGGTTATATTGCGCGCCATAACACAACCTTCAAATTACCAGACGTTAAGGTTTTACTTGAGACTTCCATACAGCTAGTAACGCCCGAAGCTTGGCAGAATGCTATCCGTCATGTTGTGAAGGAAGAAACAAAAATGTGGCAACTTGACCACCACATCGACACCATCATAGAGCCAGTTATAGTCAATTTCAACGAGGAAAGCGATAGCGACAGTTTATTACTGTCAGATGTAAGTGGAAGCGACGATGAATAAAGGTAATTCCCAAATTTTTGACTTATGTTTCAAACCACTCTTTATTAAGCATGTGACAAATCTAGTTCACCCATGTTAAACATTCATACCCCGCCTATGAACAGCCGACTACTGGTAGTTAAGTGATGTTCACGTGAACATCGATGAGTCATTACAGTTTTAGATAGTTATAGTATAGTGCTGCCACAATGCTGTTTCAGTTTTTAAGATTTGCTAATAATTTCCCTTAAAGCTTTCACTATAGTTTCTCGGAGTGAGCTGGCGAGTCGACATTCCAACAGAAAATAATTTTAGGTCTAGGGTTACATGATCTCAGATGCTAATATTTTTAGATCCCTTGGTTTTATGCCGATGGGAGTTTCTTTGGGATAAGACAAACCAAAAAGGTCTACCAGAGGCAATTAAAATTTTAAACGATAATATTTGCCTGGGCTTCGTTTTCTTATAAAGCCCTACAATTCTGTACCCCAGAACCAGAGTAGGTTAAGTTCATTTTTGTCAAAAATGGGTTTAATATGTTAAGCTTTTAAATTTTCATTTGCTACATGCAGCGTCCATCTACCTGTAATAAAAGTTACGACTTTTTAACTCATGTCAAGTCGCATAGAATACAATGCACGAAAAATATTTCAAATTATCTCAAAACTACTTATTTGAACTTAACCTAGTCTCTGGCTCTGAGGTACAGAATTTGGTAAATTTTGGATTGATACCATCCTCTAAAAAGATAATAAGTATCTGAATTTGCTTATACTTACCACAGAATTGACTAGAATCTTTGGTAGAAAAATACATAACTCCTTCCCCCTTGACATCCTCCCCGAATCGTCCAATATCAAACCTGTAAGAGGGATCCAAGGCAGAAGACTCGTTTCTTTCCAGTTGTGGGAAGCAGTGTCCGTTTTCAAAGGATTCGATGCCTCCAGGGCAGTTGTAAGCGGTGAAGTCGCATGCGGTTTTGTTTTCTTTTTGTTTCGCTACCATGTTGACGAGAGATTCTTTGAATAGGAGGAAAGCTCGGATATGACTGCAGACTATTTCTCTGGATAGGCCCCTTTCTGAAATTGGAAAAGAAAATAACTCTTACTGCTATGGAGATATCAATTACATTTTATTGGAACGAGTTATTTATTACAAACCTATCAACCGTCAAAAGAATGTAAAATGTCACCTTGAAGACTAGGTAGTTTTTAGGGTGCAAACAGTCATTCCACGTTTGCTCACTAGGATCGTTGTGAGCGTCCATCTATGGAGGAATAGCTTAACTAAACTGAATCCAAATTCAAGATGAGATGTAAATAATAACAGTTAGCGCGTGATCTCTCGGTAACAGGTGGCGACAACGCCTCTTATTGGTCAATTCGCCATTAAATTTCAAGCGGCCGCCAGGCGGAATAATGCGCGGGACAGGGGCAGGGCAGGCAGAGTTGCACTCAGGCCACCGTCCGTCGCATGTATCACTGCGTGCTCGTGTTTTCGTATTCACCATGCTTGGTTGTTGCTGTTGTTGTTAAGTGTATTTGAGTAATTTGTTAACTTTCTGTTTCTGTTAAATAGTGTCATCTTTGTTTTACAACACGTTGGTGGTAGTCCATCATTCGGAGGTAGCCCTCAATGCGGGTCTGTACGCCGTCCTTGCTTTTGGCAATCACGCATCCATTCTATCTTGGGTGTAAATACACTATACATGGATTGTTGGTTGCATATGTTTTGTGAAGCCGAGTAGTCTGAGAAGAAAGTTGGTTGAACAGCGAGGTTGCGTCTGGATGATTATGTGTTTTAGTCTGCATGTGTATAAAATCAGTGATATTTGCTGTGTGAGAAAATCATTGCTGAATATGCTGCCAATGAAGTATATCTATCAGCTGTGCCCAACGGGTTATGTAACGGGTGATTTTTGAGGTATAGGATTTGATTTTCAAAAAAAACACAAAAAATTAAAAAAAACGATTAAATCTTTATTTGAGTCGATAGAACGGTCGATATAATTTAATGTTTAAAGATTATTTCATGTAAATGTTGGCCGCGGCTCCGCTTTAGATTGCCCATGCGCAAGGTCCAATTTTGGCACACTCTCTCCAACATATCGGCCGGTATCTCACGAATAAATGCTTCAATATCGGCTTCCAGTGCGTCAATCGTTGCTGGTTTATCCCTGTAGACATTAGCCTTAACATGAAATAGTCCAACGGCGTTAAATCACACGATCTAGACGGCCAATTGACGGGCCCCAAACGTGAGAACTCGCCTCTCAATAGGGCCATTGTTTCGTGTGCGGTGTGGCTTGTGGCACCGTCTTGTTGAAACCACATGTCAGCCAAGTCCAGCTCTTCCATTTTGGGCAAAAAAAAGTTTTTTATCATCGCACGGTAGCGCTCGCCATTCACAGTTACGTTCCGGCCATTGTCGTCTTTGAAGAAGTACGGCCCGATGATGCCACCGGTCCATAATCCACACCAAACAGTGATTTTTTCGGGATGCATTGGTAGCTATTGCAATGCTTCTGGCTGGTCTTCACTCCAGATGTGGCAATTTTACTTGTTAACGTACCCATTCAACCAGAAATGAGCTTCGTCACTGAACACAATCTTTCGATAAAAATGTGGATCTTCCTCCTACTTTGCCAGCGCCCATTCACCAAATTGGAAACGTTGTGGGAGGTCGTGTGGCTTCAATTCTTGCACCAGCTGTATCTTATAAGGTTTTACACCCAAATAATGTCGCAAAATTTTCCACGTAGTGGAGTAACAGAGGCCCAATTGCTGCGAACGGCGGCGAATCGACATTTCACGGTCATCACTAACACTGGCGGATACAGCCGCAATATTTTCTTCAATCCTCACTCTGCGTCCGCGTGTTGGTGGTTTAATGTCTAATAATGTAAACTGGGTTCGAAATTTAGTCACAAGCTTCCGAATAGCTCCCTCAGTAGGCCGACCAAAATGCCCATAAATTTGAAGCAGTGCTTGATGCACTCTCTTAACCGAGCATGAATTTTGATAGTAAAATTCAATAATTTGCAAGCATTGTTCGTTCGTTAAGTCGAGTCATGGTTAAATTATAGACCAAACTGAACAAGTTTGACAATGACACAAGACACGATTCACGCGTCATCTGTCAAAAACAGTGTTGCCAAAAAGATACTAGCAAAAAAATCACCCTATATATGTTGTCTTTTCTGAAGACAAGTTATGTTTGAAGCTATAAATTACGATTTTTACGAGCTATTCAATTCTCTACAGTCGAAAACAGTTTTTAGGTATAGTTACGTCAAATTTGGCACTATTGTGAATATGTGGCAGCCGCGAAATCGACATGCGAACGTCTCACTTTCAGAAGTGCCAGAATCATATTGGCAAACCTCCTAGATATCAAACCACATTCTTGGATTCAAAATCAATTGTGAAAATTTACCGAACAGGTTGGTTGGAAAATAAATGCGAAGATATTAAAATTAAGAAAAATAAAAAAGCCCTCCAAAATTAATAATAACAAAAAAGCCCTCCCCGGCGGGGAATCGAACCCCGGTCTCCCGCGTGACAGGCGGGGATACTTACCACTATACTACCGAGGACTTGTAGGAACTGAACGTACTATGTTTTCACAATCCTTAATGCAAATATCCCAGTTTTAAAAAATATCCTCAGTATTTATCATTAAAATATACATCAAAAAATGTTTTCTGATAAACCTGTTTATTTATAGTTTCATAGTAATAATATTTTCTCCTTATCGTATATTTTATATTGTTGAAATATCATAATTGCTTTATTGTATAAAAAAAAAATGAAAAAAGTTCTCCCCGGCGGGGAATCGAACCCCGGTCTCCCGCGTGACAGGCGGGGATACTGACCACTATACTACCGAGGACTGTGTTTGAATTTGTCCTTCGGGCTTTATTCAGTCTCGCATCGTCACGGACCGATATGCAACGCTATTCATTGGCGGCGTTTCAGTACACAATAGAAGGGAATACGAAAGACATATTTGAATCATATAATTAGAAGATTCGATTTAATAATATATTATAATGTGTTGGTAAGGAAAAATTACTTTGGAGTTGGTCAAATTATTTCAAATTCGCGAGTAATGTTGATTTAAAATCGGAATCAAACATTTTATATACAGGGTGTTTCAGTTTATTGTTGCATAACTTTAAGATTCGATAGAACTTTTAAAATTAATGCATAAAGTCAGGGTGTTTAAATTTACTTTTCAAAATAGTTTTTTTTTATATATTTCGAACAATATTTGATGTATAATAGTGAAAATTGGTATACAAGGGTTTTTTGGTACGACAAAACGAACCATGGGCATAGTTTTACACACACATATTTGAATCATATAATTAGAAGATTCGATTTAATAATATATTATAATGTGTTGGTAAGGAAAAATTACTTTGGAGTTGGTCAAATTATTTCAAATTCGCGAGTAATGTTGATTTAAAATCGGAATCAAACATTTTATATCCAGGGTGTTTCAGTTTATTGTTGCATAACTTTAAGATTCGATAGAACTTTTAAAATTAATGCATAAAGTCAGGGTGTTTAAATTTACTTTTCAAAATAGTTTTTTTATATATTTCGAACAATATTTGATGTATAATAGTGAAAATTGGTATACAAGGGTTTTTTGGTACGACAAAACGAACCATGGGTATAGTTTTACTGTAGCCGCTAGAGGGCGCTCTCTATTGTACCTGTAGTGTATTAAAATGACCAAACATTTTTTCTTAGTGCAACTGTTTGATTTTTGAATAAAAAAACTGATTCTTCGCACTTTTCAACATAAAAAAGCTCTCTTGTGAATTTTCGTTATAGTTAGCCGTTTTTGAGATATTTCGATTTTTAAGTTTCGATGCATTTTTAATTATTTATGATAAAATAACGTTAAAAAGTCAGTATCTCGATAATTTTTAGAAGTAGGCTGCGCCTGCAAATATTTTTTAAATTGAAAGCAGAATAAGGTTAAACGTCAATTAGTTGACAGCTTTGTTGCCTGTTGAAACATGAAACGTTTTTTTGCAATTGTGAATGCACAAAATTTAGTTTCTTTTACCTGTTTTTTTTGTAAGTTTTATAAAAATGCCATTTTTATTCTCCAATCAAGAGTTAGCGGATATTCATTTTGTGTATGGCTTTGTAAATGGAAACGCAGCAGAAGCAGCCAGAGAATACGCACGAAGATTTCCAAACAGACGACATCCAACTCGCTCAGTATTTGTAAGAGTGCATCGCCAAATAATTGAAAATGGTTTTGGAAATCTCCAAAGGGATCAAAACATAAATCGTTCGTCAGCGCAGATTTACCCGTATGATTCTGCGTGAGTTTGATAGAGATCTGATCACAAGTGTTAGGAGAGTTTCTGGTGCCTTGGGAATTTTAGCAAGCTATGTTCACCGTGTTCTTAGAAATGACCATAGACGTCCTTACCATTCGCAACCTGTGCAAGGACTACAGCCAGGGGACGGAGAACGAAGAATCACATTTTGTCAGTGGATTCTTGATAGAACTGATAATAATAGGGAGTTTTTAAGTAACGTTTTATGGACCGATGAGTCATGCTTCACTAGACGTGGAGTGGTAAATTTTCATAATCAACATATTTGGCCGCATGTAAATCCGCATGCAGTTCGGGAAAGAAATTTTCAGCATGAATTTAGTGTGAACGTGTGGATTGGTATCTACCGTAATCGAGTATTTGGACCCTACCTTTTGCCTGCAAGGTTAAATGCTGGGACCTTCTTGGAATTTTTAAAGGCTGAACATGCAAATATGTGGGATGATGTTATGTTAGATTTAAGAAGATTGGCCTGGTTCCAGCTTGATGGTTGTCCAGCTCATTATTCGGGAATAGTTAGAAACTGGCTGGACGAAAATTATCCAGAAAGATGGATCGGCTGTGGAGGACCAGTCGCCTGGCCTCCACGATCCCTTGACCTAAATCCATTAGATTTCTTTGTGTGGGGATTTCTAAAAGAAAAAGTGTACCAGACTCCCGTAACCACAAGAGATATGCTAATAGACAGAATCAGGAATGCATGTGATGAAATAAGGCCTTATTTGAATAATGCTATACCACGTTCGATCATTCGTAGATGTGAATTGTGTATTGAACAATTGGGTTTACATTTCGAGCAACTACTTTAGATTTTGTATGTTTGTCCTAACTATGCAATAGCATTTTAGTTGTAAATAATTAATTTGATTTGTTAAAAATAATATTGGAAAATTAAACAAATTAATATTCTGTTTTTTTGTGTTTATTTGGAGTTAGGAATTATTGCTGTGTTTAAAAACGCAATCTAAACGATCATCTTAATTACTTGTAATGCCCAAATCGAAAATGTAAAAAAAAATATTATTTTCATATAAATAATTAAAAATGCATCGAACCTTAAAAATCGAAATATCTGAAAAACGGCTAACTATAACGAAAACTCACAGGAGAGGTTTTTTATGCAGAAAACTGCGAAGAATCAGTTTTTTTATTCAAAAAGCAAAAAATTGCACTAAGAAAAAAATTTCGGTCATTTTAATACACTACAAGCCCATGGTTCGTTTTGTCGTACCAAAAAACCCTTGCATACCAATTTTCACTGTTATACATCAAATATTGTTCGAAATATTTAAAAAAAACTATTTTAAAAAGTAAATTTAAACACCCTGTATTTCGGAAGCCACGCATTTTTCGACCCATGTTTATATAGACTTTATGCATTAATTTTAAAAGTTCTATCGAATCTTAAAGTTATGCAACAATAAACTGAAACACCCTGTATACTTACCGAATTGTGTAACTATGATGGAATCTCTGACATCATGGCAACCGGGTTGTTCTTGCCCTCCATTGGGATAGAAATCAACGTGTCCTATTGGATCCCATAGCCCAAAACCGTCTGTTACCGACTGGAAACACAAAATTCATATTATTCCTGGACTCTTACAAATATAATAAAAGTACTTCAAACGAATATAACATTATAATCGACCACTGTCTTAAGAATGAGCAAATGGGCACTCTCATAGTGCCGATGACATAAACACTTACCGGGCTTCCGTCGGTGTGTATAACATCAACAAACTTGGCATCGCTGCGATCTAGTTTCTTATACTGTTCTCTCAAGTAGTTTCCTCTGAATAACGGACTTGCTGGATCTAGACCTAAAAATATAGGATTGTTTGAGTTAGCTCGGAAAAACAGATGAAAGGAGATGAACTTAGGAAGCACCTGACAGCACATGGTACTTCTTGCATAAATTATGCCAAGAACGGCACATGAATATAGATCTTTCCACTGGTAAGTATTATGGATATATTGATAAACGTTGTCTCTTTGGTAAGCAATGGTAGTTAAATGTTTTAGTATGCACTAAAACCACAGAATTTTGGCGACAAAAAGACAATGTATTAAACATATAGGCTTGGGTACTTTTGATCTATTCGAATTCCTTGGATTAACTAGAGCTTTCTGTAGTACGGATGAATTTATTCTGCATTCATTTTAAAACTTTTAGTTTGTTGTTTGATGTCTAAGTCTGTACTGTTTTTTTTTTATTTTATTTTAGTCAGATTTGACTTGTGTGTCTTTGACCTCTGCAAGTACATATGTACAAATGTATGGGCTCCAATAAATATGGATTTGACGGAGTACGAAGTACCCCATTCCACAGATTTTGAGCTGATAACTGACAACCGTTAGAAACGTACTAAGGTTGAGGAAAAGACATTCAAATAATCGAGGATACTTATATTGATTTCAATACACATTTATGAAGCAGTGGTGTATGCTAAGCAGTTTCTAAATTGCCGCACACTGACTATGAAACAAGAAGTGCTGGGAACTTAAATATTCCTTTTCTGAGATTATCAGGAAGTCAAAAGTTTGCTGAAAATGGTTGTTATTCATACCAAGATTTCTTGGATTGCAAATTTTATTATGTGCTTTAACTGTTGTTGACTTTCAAATTATTTTGTTTTATTTTACTCTATCCTTTTATACTTTATAATTGTGACGTTTTACATAATTCATATATATATATAGGTGAAAAATTAAAGCTTCCGCCTTTTGTTGGGTACTTCGACAAAATTTAAGCAAAGAGGACTCTTTATACTTTTTTTTAATTCTCTCTAGCTTTCAATGGACTTTGCCATCATCATCAGGAGAGTAGTATGTGAGGATGTTACTAATTGTTGTTTACGTATAGGATGAGGGAAACGTCCAGTAACATGGTGAGAGCTGGATAGATTGTACAATGGTCAAAATTATATAAAATATGACAAGAACAAGTTAAAAACAGATTAAAAATTATTTAAAAAACATTAGAGCATTACATCGTGAAGCCACTTGATGATTGCACAAATTAGTGGTCATGGAATAATGACCAATTATTTGGTCTGGTCTAGACGACAATGACCACGTCTCAAGTTATATATATATATATATAATATAGGGAACACATAGTCGACGAATAAAAAACTGGAATCCGAGATTTTGCAATAGTTGATAGTTTTTCAAGTTCTTCCAAATCAGTCAGTGTTGCATGAATAAAAAATTTTAAAGATTTTTAAAAACATATGATTTGCCATTTATTAATAAAATAATTCCGTTCTAAACGAACCTC